GCGGTTGGGCGACAGGGGCCGGGCACCCGGGCAACTTGGGCCGGGCACCCGGGCTGCTCAGGGGCCGGCTGGCAAGTGGCCGGGCACCCGGGGTCCAAGTCCCGGGCACCCAGGGGTAGTGCTGGGGCAAGCCGGCGAGGGGGGCCGGGCACCCGGGGAGGGGCGCTGGAGATGGCCTGGTGGCCCGGCCGGGCACCCGGGGCCTCAAGCCCGGGCACCCGGCGAGGAGCCCAGCGGCTGGTGCAGCCAAGGCTGGGCACCCGGCCAGCCTAAGCCCGGGCACCCGGGGGCGCAGCTGTAGGAGGCCAGGGGCCCGGGCACCCGGTGCTTCCAGGGGCTTTGCCCCTTCTCCTCTTTCTTCCTCCTTCTCGTTCTCTTCTTCCTTCTCTTTCTTCCCTTGCCTCGAGGTCACTTGCGTCTCCGTCTTCTCCTTCTCACCATTGTCTTCTTGGTACCTAAGCATGCACAATGTTTCCGATGACGGTAGAATCCAACTCTCATGTGAAACCGAGCGAAACTCGAAGAGGAGAGAATCAACCTCGTTCTCGATGGCGCATGCACGTTCTCGTGTCATTGGTCCACTTGGAGCTTGCGTTGGTGATGGAGTGTCTGTGCGAGTAGTCGAGGGATGCTTCGCATCACCATATGTATTGGAGAAGCTTGGTTTTTTAATTAAAACGAAACTTTATTCATTAGAGATAACCATTACATCGTTTGTGAGGATCAGTACAATTTCATTTAGGGGCTCCTCAAACCAGTCTGAAGTCAAAGAAAATCTAGCTAATCTAGCAAGTTCATGAGCTACTTTATTTGCCTCTCTATTACAGTGTTCGAATCTAGTCATGACAACATCACAGACATAGTGAAAGCAGTCCTTGAAAATTGCCGCCGCCGCACCCGCTGATTGTCCTCCATCCTGCATCTATCACCTCCAGATTGTCTGAGTTGATGATTATGCGATTACACCCCGCCCTTTGCGCCAGTGTTAGGCCAAATTTGAGTGCTAGAGCTTCAGCCATCAGAACATCCGTACAATAGTCAATTTTGCCATTTCCTCCTGCAATAAACCTACCTTTCTCGTCTCTCAAGACTGCCCCCACCGTACCCTTCAGCATGTCATGATCAAAGGAGGCATCAACATTAAGTTTCACAAAACCCCTAGGAGGACAGTATTAACCCCCTTTTTCATAGACGCCTTTGGAGATGATGCATTTACAAAGTTGGATGTGAGTGCTATGATCGCCATTGATATCTGATTTGCATTCTGAGTTAATTCCTTGTGCACTAATTTTCATCTTTCCCACCATAGGTACCAAGCTGAAATAGCTATCATTTCTCGTACATTTTGGTACCCCATAATACTCAAATCTTGTTCTGGAAGAAGTAGAAGGTATTCCAATATCGCCTCTCCGGCACGATCAACCTTGCAAGCTTTATCAATAATCTCATCCATCCCTAGTTTCTTCCAAACCTCCTTTGCTTTCCTATAAAGGAAAAGCATGTGTTTCGTATCTTCTAAACCTTGAGAGCAATTAGGGCAAGAGGGTGAGACCTTCATGTGTCTGTTAGCGAGTGTTACCCGGGATGGAAGAGTGCCATGTAATGTACGCCATATGAAAAAGAAAATCTTTTGCCGGACAAGATAACTTCCATATTTGACACCATATAGGATTAGGTGTGATTCGCCCCATCCCATTAGAATATTCTAGTTTACTCCCATATTGATAATTCCACTCCACAGAGTAAGCAGACCGAACTGAGAATATACCATTTTTTGTATAACTCCAGGCAATGAAGTCTGTCATATCATGTTGCGAAAGTGGGATTGAAAGAATCAATTGTGCGTCAATGGGCCACATAATTTGTCTAATCATGTCCTCATCCCAATTATTGGAGGTAGGGTCAATTAGGTCACCCACTTTTGATAATAATTGTCCCCTCCTAGGGGTCACAATCTTCCTAGTGGCACAGTTTGGGATCCAGGCATCTTTCCAAATATTGATGTTATGTCCATTCCCCACTCGCCAAATATAGCCACGCCATGATGCTTTGCTAGGTGAAGGAAGCGCCATGCTTTGGTTTGGCCTTCATCAAAACGCCATCGGGATAGTACTTGGCCCTCATAATAGTAGCACACAAGGAATCAGGATTATCAATGAGACGCCATGCCTATTTGGCAAGCAAAGCCAGGTTGAAACAATGGATATCACGGAATCCCATTCTTCTTTGGTTTTTTGGTACGCACATTTTCCACCAGGCCATCCAGTGCATCCTCCTCTGATTCTCCTCGTCGCCCCACCAGAAATGCGCAATCGCGTCGATGATTCCTTTACAGATTTTTTTAGGAATTTTAAAGACCGACATTGCATAGTGGCTAGGATCACAGCCTTGAGCAGGATCTCCTTCCCCCGAGCAGAAAGTAATTTTTCCTTCCAACCACTAATTTTCTTAACAATTCGTTCAATCAAAAATTTAAAGCAGTATGTTTTATCAACGCCGACATTTGTTGGCAAGCCCAAGTATACATTCATTGCCTCCGTCATTATATCCAGCGTTGTACACATTTGTTCTATGATCTCTACCGTTGTATTAGGACTAAAGAAAATACTTGACTGGAGAAGCTTGGTTTTGGTTTAGATGACTTTGAGAATGTGGGACGAGGAGGGCTCACTTAAGAACTAAACATGGTTACGAGTTTCTGGTTAAGCTGTACAATGCGGTCAATCACTCCCATTTCGGCTGCTCTAATTGGGAAGCTCTCTACAAGGCATATGGATTTGAGGAGGGAATGCAAATAAGATTTGATATTCGTCCTGAAGATTATGATGATGATGATAATATCGACATCTGGGTGGATGTGGATATGCCTCCAGTTTTGCCTAAATGTGAGTTTGTCAAACTAATTTGTTAAGTTCAGTAATTTATATTGTTAATTTAAAAATATTTGGTGTTCGTCAGTACTAAATTTATTTATTTATAATTGTCAGCTTATTTCTTATCTTCAAGAAATACTCGAAAGGTTGTAGACACCACATACTACAGCTATGACTCCGAGCTTAATTGTGAGGAGAAAGGTTATCTTGTCTTATTCATAGAAGATGTTAAGGCCTTTAAAACCAATCACTCTATCAGTCCAAATTATACTAGATACGTGCCACTAGTCCATAAATTGCTTGATGGTAACTTCATTGCCAAAAACTTGGTAAGATTTTGTTAATGATGGTAACTTCATTGCATACATTATTATTAAATAAACTACATTGCTAACTATATATGTTACTGTTACGTTTTTCAACATAGGCTCCCGAAGAAGGTTGTGCCTGACTTGATGTTTATCGAAGGTGATATGCATATGGTTAGCTTACTACCAACTCCTTTGAAGGCTTACCACAGTGCATACTCAATTTCTTCAAACAATGGAAGGCTCAAAATCAAAAAATGGAGCAAAGTGATGAATGCGCACACGCAACTAATGGGAGACAAAATGAATGTGCGCAAGCCACAAGTTGGAGATAGGTTTATCTCCATTCTTCATTATGGAGATGGACCAGTTTATCTGTTTTATGGTATTTTACCTAGGAGAGATGAGTGGGTCCTAGGTATTAAGAACAATTAGTCAGTGTTGATTATATATGACTATGATGATGATGAGAATTTTTATTATGTGCTACAATGTGGTAGAGTTGATGATGATGAGGAGGAGTAGTGATTATGAGTACTATGATGATGAGGAAGAGTTGTTATTATAACTAGTGACCAAGTTGTTATATGATGTCTCATGGACGAAAATGATGATGATGAGTTGTTATATGACAATGATGTATTATGATCATAAGTTGATAATGATATGATGATGATGATGATGATGATGATGAGGGGTTATTACGTCATTCGGTGAAAGAACCGCAGATTAGTTTCCAGTGGATGGATCCAAAGTGAATGTCACTTTGGACCAATCCACTTGAAACTAATTCGCGGTTCTTCCACTCGGTCACTTTGGATCCATCCACTTGAAACTAATTTGCGGTTCTTTCACCCAATGATGTAATAACTCATTATGATGTAATAACAATCTCTAAATTGCTACCGTATGAAAACTTATATAACGATGTACGGATACAACATAAAATAAAAAAGAAATAGCATACGTAATAATAGTAGTAGCGTGGATAGAGAAGCGCTGCTAGTAACTATCAGTAGTGCGTTCCTAATAAGGCGCTACTGCTAAGTAGGGCTAGTAGTAGCGCAGGTGAACCAACGCGACTGCTAGACTTTAGCTATAGCGTCATAGCAGTAATGCGGTCCCCCAAGCTATTGCTAGCCCAAAAACCAGCGCTACTGCTAGGCTTTTCCCTGATAATACTACCGTCTTGTGGTAAGTCTTACCCTAAACAATCCTAGTCAATATGCAGCAGCAGCAGCTACAAATCCACGCTATGCACGCAGGGTTGAACAGGAAACAGAAATGAGAAACTGGATTCACGACGCTTGTTAAGCGACCTGCCTGCCGATCGCAGAGCCTCTGATCCTTCTCCAACGACCACAGCGGGCCGATGCTTTCAAGCCATAGCGACGCCAGAACGCCAGTAATAACCAGACTTATGGTGCTCAAACCCTTGTTTCAACCGTTTCTTTTTTCTTTTTGCTGGAATATATTTCGACCATTTCTTGCTACTAAAAGATGGAATCATGCTATAAAATTCCTGTCTGACCCCACTCTTAACAACCCAATACATCCATCATCCATGAGGTGTTTTATTTTGTCTCAGCACTGCACTCAAAGATTACACGTAGACCCGGCTAAGTGCAGATGCGAAAACGAACGAGACCTACCACAGAAACACATATTCGCAGTGCTTCAATGCCGTCACAAGGTCATCTGCTCGCTTGGAATGCGCTGAAATCAGGAAATTATGTACAAACAGTTGCATAATCACCTGGCGATAGGTCCTCGTCGAACAAGTCAGCTTCATTTGGCACAGAGCCTTACCTCCCCCCATCTACAGCTCGTCACGAGGTTCCACCTTAGCAGCGGTAGCGGGCTGGTGCTCAAGCAGATAGCGAGCAGCCAATGATGCTTGCATGGCTGCACCATAGGGCAGTGCATCCTCGTTGATGGTGAAGTAGGGGGAGTGATGAGGCGCCTGCGGTCCACGAGTCTCGTTGAGCATCCCCACGAAGTAGTAGTATGTCTTGGGAACGGCCTCGGTGTAGAAGGAGAAGTCCTCGGCACCCATCAGTGGCTGCTTCTCTCTCACGTTGTTGGGGCCAACCATCTCACTGCCCACCTTCGCAAAGAAATCGTGAAGCTCGGGATTGTTGATTGTTGGAGGGAAGAAAGGCTTATCTTTGTCAAGGAAGTCCACAACTGCACTGCAGCGCTGGACAGATGCCTGTGTGACTATGACCTGAGACCAAAAAAACATTCATGTTAAACAAACGAAATTTAAATTACAGATCCTTGAGTCTGTATATCTTTTTTTAGCTTTCACCATTCATGATAAAATAACCAGCAAGAAGCACTTCCTTTCTACAAAACCCAAAATGGTGCAACACTACAACTTTCATAATTTAAAGTACTACCTCCGAACCTAAACATAAGACGCTTTGCAGTTAAGAACTGCAAAAATGTCTTATATTTAGTTACAGAGGTAAGTGGTATATAATAATCAGGCAACAGACTGACCACCAGCTCATCTGGTTATGGTTATCCTTGCTCATAGTGTGAAATTGACATAGGCAGCTACAGACCGAGCTGCTGTAACACTTTGTACAAATTGTACCGTGAAATCATTTTACTTCCATAAATAGTACAATTGACAGCGCAGTCTGTTCACCTTGAACTACACCAACCATCAGATATGCATTAAACAATATTCCTTGATTCTACATTCTTTTTTCTTTATCTTGACTCTTCTAGAGATGTCAATTTTCAGCACTGTCGTAAGTCAATTTGCAAAAGTTAATGCCAACACTTCCCTTCATTTATCAGGACCTCCTATTATTTGGTGGCGTTGATGTATTGTACATGTTTCAAGTAATCTTTCAACAAAATTTATTGAGGTCTCCTACCAACACATGAGCTTATGCCTTAGTTAGCTTCGATTCAGGTAGTGTGACTTCTCGACTTGCCATTTTGATAGTAAGCATAACTATAAAAAAATTACGAAGGAATTCAAGCACCAACCGTACTCCTTTAAGTCAGTTTTGTTTCTTCATCTTTTCAAGAGCAAATTATTTGAAAGGACGCAGGAGAGCTGCGCATTTCATTAAGAAGAACGGCGAAAGAAACACCAACTGTACATAGCAGGGGTAGAAGAACCCCTAAAGAAAAAAGGAAAAAAGGCCCAGGCGTGAAAAGCCTACTCTCGCAGCATCAAATGCCGGCCTCCAGCCACATTTTCAAGAGCAAATCATACGGAACATAATGACACATAAACAACACACAATTCCCAAGTTATAATGCTGTTACCTCTTCAATTCGCTGCTTCAATTGATTAAAACTCTCCTTCAAAAAGGCTCGGAAGGTACCACCTATTGTCACGGAATCAGGGATAACATTGAAGGCTCCACCACCTTGAAACTTTCCAACCGTTACTACCTGCAGAATAAAGCCAATAAAAAGGAGGGTAATGAGATGTTGTGGTACACAGGAATGACTACGGGCGAATGGGACCCCCAAAACGATATGGCAATGCTAAAGGAATGACTAGGACTGTCACTACTTATCATATAACAAATATCTATAGCCTAAAGGCAGCCGACTGGAAGAACATATGAAACATGACAAGGGGAACATTTTATAAAGACGATCCATATAATAGGACTGTAATGTGCAGACAATCATTTCATCTATGAAATCATAATGCTGGACAGACAGTTCAGGAGTGTACGTCAAAAAACTTGTGAATTCAGATACTAGATAACAAAGAAATCTTGGTAGTTACGATCATAATTCTGGGAATATTAGGAGTAGACAGCTTCCATGTTAGGATGTGATTAGTTAGTTAGCCTGCAGTAAATCAGAACAAATAACTATTTTAATTGGTATGGGCATGTTAATCCTCAGGATCCTGACAAGTTTTGGGTATCAAAAAATGGGTCAAAATGATCTATGCAAACTCCACCAAATGAGCTATCTAAATCACATAGCCATGATAAAGAAAACTATGTAAGTTATATAAAAAAAAGTAGCAGTCATTAAATATATCAAGTAGCTCAAGGATTGAATAGCACCTGTGAGTCCAAGGGGTCAGCTTCTCGGGAAACAAGTTGCTGAAGGCTTACAATAACATTGGATGCAGCCAGTATCGGATCAATAGTGTGATGAGGAAGTGCAGCATGCCCTCCCTTTCCACTTATTACTGCCTCAAAGAATCCACTCCCTGCCATTATAGGCCCAGGTCTGGATGCCAGCACACCAATCGGCACACTGTCAGCTACATGAAGTCCAAACATGATCTCTATGTTTACCACAGCTCCGGCTTCTACCATTTTCTTGGCTCCACCACCACCTTCCTCAGCTGGCTGGAAAAGAAGGGCTACAGTACCCTACGGTAAAAAAAAAACATGACATTTGTAACATCAAATTTTGCAGGTAAATAAAGTTTGATGCCTGCAAAATAGGATTTTTTTTGGCCAAGGATTGTGAGATCTTGACATAATTGATATATAGGCAGCCACATGGTTCAGTTTGTACATAACTGATCTGAGGGGAAGTGGGGACCAAACTATCCTTTGACTAGCTGTATGATGTCTGAACAAAGCTGCATGATCAATTATTGGAGAACCGAGTGCACATGTGCATTACATATATATTCATATTACTGCTAATGTGAAGGTTGATTTGAAATATGAAACAGTGAATCACTAGGGCTGGATCAAAAGCTCGTAGCTCGTGAGCTTAATGAGCGCTTGATAGTTCGGCTCGTTAAGCTCGTGGCTCGCTCCTTAATGAACAGAGCCAATCACTGATTTCAGCTCGTTAAGCTTAACGAGCTAACGAGTTTCACGAGTAGCTCGTTAAGCTCGTTAGTAACAACACAACACATATTTTCATCTTACGTGACAAAAGTTTCATAGCACCTCATCCCATCTATTCAATCTAATCTACATAGGAGGCAACAAACTAGTGCTTTCCCTTTTGTAGCCGCCATCTTTCTTCTCAAAAACCAAATATAAACACTCATCCTATAGACTGTAAGACATCAGAATCTGTTAACAAGCGCTCGCGAGCTTAACGAGCTTCAAACGAGCCGAGCCGAGCAGGGTTTTCTGCTCGTTAATCTTAACGAGCCGAGCCTTAATGAGGACGAGCTTAACGAGCTGAGCAGCTCGTTAATCCACCCCCAATTGTGCATCTCTTGAGAATTAGTGTTGAGGAAAAAGAAACAAAAATCATTGCACTTGCCCTTTGGCAAAATCTCCAAGTAGTTCAGGAAACATCGGTGCTGGAGTGGACATAGGGAATACCAAAATCGCCTATATTTTAATCAAACAGAAACCTCATTTACCATGACCAGCATTAAGAATCAGGTAGTTTCTGAACCATAAAAGTTGTTATATACCACCAAAAGTAATACATCACCACTCTACGACATGAACATCAAATTGTTATAATTTAGTTCCGTCATTTTAATCCAGCAAACAGATGATTTGTTCAAGAAATGAAAGAAGGAGAAGTATGAAAATAAAGCATGTGGAGTGTTGAGATATACTGATCTTATGATTACAGTTTCATTTATTTATTTATTTGCAAGGTTGCTACCTTTTAAACTCAAAGCAACAATAAAATGATGAACCTATAGTTAACTGTCAACCTTCAAGCACATTTTCAGCGTTAAAAGAGAAAAATCAAATCGTCTTGCTGATTTTCATTGTAAACTGAGAAAATTACAACGCTTTACAATTCAGAAAGAGCTTCTTTACTAACCTTCAACTTGTCACGGTGCTCCTGAAGAATCTTAGCAGAACCCAATAGCATAGCAACATGTGCATCATGGCCACATCCATGCATCTTCCCAGGCACTTTGCTCTTATGTTCCCATTCCACGCTTTCCTGAAGACAACACATAAGGGTATCATAAGTAACATGACCCTTGAAATAGATAAAAGTGATAGCCAAATACAGCTTAATCATATTTCAGTGTGGGCAGAGGATGCTTACAATGCTTAAATTAGCACCAACAAATAATTCAAATAAACACAACAAATATCCAGTAACTGGGAATAGCAATTATGCTATCCTCTTCAAGAAAATGCATATAATAATTGCCCCAAAATTATTTCTACTTGTATAACAATATGGCATAATTGTCTCATCGCCACACAAGACAAGCTTGAAGTTTAGCTTTACTGTTATATACGTGCATATAGGCTAATCACATGTTTCATTGCCACAATAAGCATAAACATACTATTGTATGATCCTGGTCAAATGTCTAGGGAACTGCTATGACTAGGCTAGTGTATGTCCCTCTTTTTTTAATAAGAAAAGGAGTGTTTGCCTCAAGCCATCTGTCCAGACTCAGTAGTTTAACTGTACCGATACCGAGACCTGATAAGCATTAGCTTGCATTTCCCCACGGTCAATTTCAAAGATATCGAGCCTCCTGAGTTGAAGATTTGGGATACAATTCTCTATCCTCCGACTTCGAAATATGACCTCTCACACAGCAGTGCTGAGAGGCCAACTGAAGCCATCGGCCCATCAGGGCTCGTTTAAGAGATTCTGATTTTATTTTATTTTTGCAATCTTAGTTTTGCTAATATATAGAAAGAGTTACCGAGCGTCAATAAGAACAATTCCTCTCCAAAGATAACAAGTGGTGCTGAACAAATCCTGAAATTCTGTGGTCGCAATATAGGAATGGATCGGCAGCCGAACCAATAAATTTTCATTTACCGGAGGCAGCAAAGCTAAAACGCGACGACCCAATACAAACATAAAAGTTGAGTACAATCCGAAGAGTAAAGCAGAAGAAGAACCTGCATAGGGAGCGCGTCCATGTCGGCCCGAAGCGCGACGAAGGGCGGGCCGCCTGTGCCGACGGTGGCGACGACGCCGGTGACCGCGAAGGGGTGCCTGTAGGGGATCTCCATGGCATCGAGCTCGCGCCGCACGAGCTCACTGGTGGCAAACTCCTCGTAGCCGAGCTCAGGGTTCTCGTGGATCCGCCGGCGCACCCCCACCATCCAGTCCATGAACTCCGCCTCCTTGGCCCGTCGCAGAAGCCCCGCCGGGTCGTCTAGGGCCGCCGCCCAGGTCGCGGCAGCGGCGATGAGGACGAGGGCAACGCGCAACAGCCCAGCGTCCATGGCCAAACAATAGTAAATGAATTCCGTCGTGACGTTCTCGCTTTCGTTTTGGACAGTTGTACTGTACTACAGTATCAATCAGGCGAAACGCGCACGAGTGGCGTGGGCTAGGCTCAAGTGAACAAGCAGCCTCTCTGTGACCTTGAGCTCGGTTTGGAGGATTCCGCTTTTTACTTTCTTTTTGTTTCTCTGCCCTCTTTGAGTAGTCTTTTGTTTCGAGACGATTTGGTTTAATTTGGCACGTTGGTTTGGCTGCAGTGGAGTGGTTTGGTTGCAGAGGTGGGTGGGCATCTAGTTGGTTACCACAAAACCGGGCCCGTGGAAAAGCCATGTTGTAGTTTGGGAAAATCATTTGTTTGCTTGATGTTTATGCAAGATTGACAACTTTTACTTGCTTTAGTTTTCAACTACCAACTTTGTCAATTTGTATCGATTCTGGCCGACGCTTAGGAACCTTTTCCAAGCGATTATAAATGGCTTTGCCCTCGGTACGGTGGACCTGTCGCGCCTCAATTATGGGGCTATTTGCTTGATTCCCAAGATCAAAGGGGCGGAATCAATTAAGCAGTTTCGGCCGATCACGCTCATAAACGTTCCTTTCAAGTTATGTGCCAAAGCTTACGCTTCTAGTTAGCGCCGGTCGCCCGACGAGTCATTAGCAAGAGCCAAACCGCTTTCCTTAAAGGCAAGAACATTCTTGAAGGGCCTATTGCTCTTACGGAGATAGATCATAATTGGTTTGCTGCCAACATTTGGCATTGCCAACATTTGGCAAAAGCAAAAGTTGCCAACATTTGGCAACTTTTTGTGAGATTGGCAACGAGAATTGGCAAACAACCAATCTCTAACCAAAATTTGGCAGTTACCAAAATTTGGCATGCCAACTTTTGGCATCAAACCAACTATGCTCATAATCCATGAGTTAAAACGTACGCGTGGTCAGGGTGTTATCCTCAAATTAGATTTCGAAAAAGCGTACGACCGTGTAAACTGGGAGTTTATACGGGAGGTCCTCCTCAAAAAGGGTTTTGAGGCAGGGTTCGTCCACCGGATCATGCACTTGATCTCGAGTGGCTAACACCTTGGTTATTGTCAACGGCGAAATGGGAAAGTTTTTCCGAAATAGGAAAGGGCTTAGACAGGGCGACCCCGTCTCCCCACTCGTCTTTAACTTTGTGGCGGATGCTATGGCAGCCATGCTGTCCAAGGCCAGGGAGGCCGGACACATCAAGGGGCTTGTCACACACCTCATCCCGGGTGGTGTGACACACCTACAATACGCAGACGACACTTTGTTGTTGTTCAAGCCGGATGACCATAGTATTGCTACGATAAAGCTCCTGTTACTAGCCTTTGAGCTCCTCTCCGGACTCAAAATTAACTTTCTTAAGAGCGAGGTCATTACCATGGGGATGGATGACCAGCACAGCATGCGTGTCGCAAACCTACTTAATTGCAAGCTTGGAAGCTTTCCAATTAAGTACCTAGGGCTTCCTATCTCTCACCGCAAACTTTCGATATTAGAGTGGGAGCCTCTGTACGGGAAAGTGGCCAACAGGGTAAGCCCGTGGCGAGGGCGATTCATGTCCTTCGCCGCGAGGCTTATTCTGACGAACTCGAGTCTATCTTCCCTTCCCCTCTTCACTATGGGGATGTTCTTATTAGCCGACGGTGTGCACGCTAAGCTAGACACTCCGAGATCCCGGTTCTTTTGGGAAGGAACTGGCATCAAGAGGAAATACCACCTCGTAAAATGGATGGCGGTCTGTAGGCCAAAAAATTTGGAGGATTGGGAATCCTAAATTCCAAACTAATGAACATTGCCCTCCTTTCCAAATGGTGGTGGCGGATGGCCCAAGATGAGTCGGGGCTCTGGGATCAGCTGTTAAAAGCCAAGTATTTTCCGAATGGGAACCCCTTCACAGCCTCGGCCACCGGCTCCGTGTTTTGGAGAGGGATCCAAGCGGTGCGGCCTGCTTTTGACATTGGGGCCAAATTCCAAATTAATAATGGCCAATCTACTCGGTTTTGGCTAGACCATTGGCTGGGTGCCTCTCCCCTTTGGCAAAGTCACCCCAACTTATATCGGATCGCCACAAACATTAACATCTTAATTGGGGAGGCAATCCGTACTGATCCACCAATGATTCACTTTATGCGGGCCCTAACGAACGACGAGCGTGCGTCTTGGGACGGGCTGGTTCAGCAAATCGGTACCAACCGCCTAGGGACGGGGGTTGACACGGTAGAGTGGAGCTTGACAGCTTCGAGAAAATTCATGGTGAAGTCCCTTTATAACAAGCTAACTGGAGGGCCAGTGCTTGATATAGCTAAGGGGTTGTGGAAGGCAGGCCTGCCCCTGAAGATTAAAATCTTCATGTGGCAAATGCTTAGGAATAGGCTGCCTACGTCGGATAACGTGGCCAAATGAAATGGTCCGGCTGATGGCACCTACACGATATGCGGCCTAGGCGAAGATGTGAATCATGTATTTTTTAGATGCCACCTGGCCAGGTTCGCGTGGAGCGTGGTCCGGGAGGCCTTCCACACGAACTGGAACCCTGCCTCGGGGAACCAATTAGTCTCCATTCTCAAGTCCACGAAAGGGACTACTTGTAGAATCGCTTGGCGTTGCGTAGGGGCGCTGCTCTGGGCTATTTAGACGACGCGTAATAAAATTATGATTGAGAAAAAATTCCCTAACCATCTTGTAGACGTGATCTTCAAATGCCACCTATTTTTGCAGATGTGGACCCCACTGGGAAAGGAGCGTGATGTTGAGCGTATGTCAGAGGTTATGGCGCGCATCAAGACGGTTCAGGCGATGGCAAGACAAGATCCGGTGAGTCGGTGAAACTTTTGGAGTTTCTTCTGTGGAATGTTTGTTAGCTAGGTCGTTGCGTTAAATGGTTTGGCCGGCTGTATTATTTATGTCGTGATGAACCTTTGTCTCGTCTCATGCTGGTCGTGGACCGTTGGTACTATCTTAAGTTTGCTAAGTTGTAACCGTTTGAACCTGGTGCCTTATGAGCTTTATTAATTTAAAGCCGGACGCTTCTAGCGTCTTCGTTCGAAAAAAATAGTTAGGGCGAGAATTAAATTTTGCGTCATGGACTTTTATATTTCCACTCATGGGGTTCATTATATGTTAGATACTATCATAACGTTGTGCATTGCCACTGAACCACAAAAATCATTTAGTTGCATTGAAATAGTACTACCTCCGTCCTCATTTATTGGTCTTCATTGTAATCTGTGCCAAATTTTGACCATAAATTTAACTAACAAAATATTTATGCATGTCAACAAAAATTATATCATGTTGACATGCACTAACATTTTGTTAGCTAAATCCTTGGTCAAAATTCATCACAAATTACAAAAGGGACTAACAAATCAGGACGGAGGTATTATATAACAACTAATACGCCTGCAGTACTATGGAGAACAAACTCAAGCATGCAACCAATATTGTACTTATGTAACTACGCCAACGTTGGGAGCAACATGGTAAGATATGTTTTCTCCCCTCTTCAAACCGGATGTGTCCGGAGGACACCCGTACTACAATTACAACCACATCCCTACACGAGCTCAAGTTTCACAGATATAAGAGACAATGGCTAGAGCTCCAAGACAACTTAATTATAAGGTACTTTCATCTTCTAGGAACTTCTATTATTGTTCATGAGAATATGATGTTGTCAAATTAGATGTGTTTGTATTATTCAGGATTGAAGAGCCGAGCACGGACAAGCAGGATACGTTAGAGTATGATCAAGCATGGAGATAGCATCAGCTGTAAAAGAAGCGTAGACAGAGCTTGAAGTGATATTTTCGGGATTTGGGGACACGTAGGTGCCTGGGCACCTTGCCTCCTAGCCGTTGGATGTATGACATTGCCGTTGATTCAAGTACTAGTGGATAAACCCATTAATGAGTATATATGGTAGTAATAAAAATTTATGGTAAGCATGCATGCATGCGTGCATGGCAATCATTGATGGTTTCAATACTAATTGATAGTCATCAATGCATTAAAGTTTCCAGATTTTAGTGCATGTACGTGTACTAAATTATATTTGTACATGTACGCGTGGAAAACAAGCAGTCTAAGGTATATAGAAAATGCTTCAAACGTCATGTGTATGTATACATGTACATGTACTAATATTTAATTGGAATTTATGACAATTTATTTTGATTTTCACAAAGATTTTTGCAAAGATAAGAGAGCTATTATAATCCTCGAGTATCATGCGTCAAATACATCTCTATCGATTATGTTGTATAGACATTCACATTTACAGGAATGTAACATATCATCCGTCGAGGTATTTAATTTACGAACATGTATCCACCTATTAAAAGGTAGTGTCATATGTGGGTATATACCAATAAATTTCAGTTCGAGGTATGTACATGCTGAAAAATATTTTCACTATACATTTTTTTGGGATTGAGTATGCACCAAATTATATCACTTCTGGTTATTCAACCTTCATTTCATTTAGGATACCGGAGATATATCTGTAATCTTTATTAGGTATCATACTTTGGTATGTGTATATTTTCAGTAGAGACAATACCTGGGGTATATGTATATTTTCATTAGGTATAATACTTTCGGTATGCATTTTCATTAGATATAATTGCCCCGGGTATGTGTATATTTTCATTAACAATATCTTGAGTATGCACTTTTTCGCGGGCCTGAGTATGCACTTACAAATATATTGGACTATTTTGTACGTATCTAGTACAAATTAGAATAAATCATAAGGTATATATGGAACCAAGTACGAGCGTTCAAACTATTTTTAATGCGACTAGTAAAATTTGTTTAAGGAAAAAAATTATTCCAGGGAATCAATACCTTCTAGTTTTTTGGAAACCAATCTGCAATAAATGGCAGTGGAGGTAATCGCATGCAAGTAGAGAAAGGAAAGAACATTATTTGGAAGGTACTAGTGATTATTTTCAAATACAAAACACTTAAC